ATGGCCATTCCCTCAAATGGGAGAATACCTGATGAAGGTAGATTTGGCCTGACCCCTTGGCTGTGCGACACGTGGAAGAAGACGAGATGACCTGGCAGGAATGCCAGCTCGACACGATGACGTAGCGTGGCCATGTCCCAAAGAGAGGCCCGAGCTCCCGAGCTCCCCAAGAAGAGGCCCGAGGTTCCCAAAAGGAATCCACGCTTCCTGGGAGGCGAAACCCGAACTCTCCCTAAAGGATCCCGAGGCTAACAACGAAGCCCGCGAAGGGCAAGGCCGAAACTAGCCCACCCCGGGCCAGTTCGGACCATATGCCAACACTACGGGACAGTAGGACCTACTCATTCGAACTCAAGACTTCACCTCGCGCACCACTCCGACACTTCGGCTCCAGGTCGCGCGACTGTGAAACCATATTTGACAGATCCATACTATGGGGCAGAACGCCTGACTGGTCTGGGTCTTCTGACAGACGACAATCACGCCGTAACGGCCACCTGCCACTGTCATCTCAGTTGTGGCAGAGACGGCCCTGGCAGAAAGGACAGTGGCGGTTATGCCTGCCCCCCACAGAGGCGGTTATACTTGACTTGGCAGAAATTTGGGAGTAAGTGTACCGGGTGACTTCAAAAGGCCTTCCTCCCCGAGAGAAAGAGGTATGTGATATTTGTGCTTTCTGGTCTTGAAATCTCTTATTTTCCTTGCCTTATCAAGAGTATTGACTTGAGCTTTGGAGTATTCCTATCGGGTTCCTCCCCGGAAATCTCCGATTTCTTCTTTGTTTCGGGCATCTTCGACTCCATCAGAGGCAAGATTACCGGTAGTTAAGGCCGACCGGATCGTGCATCATCAATACCATTTCAGCAGGAATGTGAATATGAGAATGGGATCCCGAATCCACCCAACCAAACAGTTGGAATCGAAATAGCCCATTCCGATTCCGATTCCAGATTCCTATTCATGCGAACCAAACGGAGACTGAAATCATTTTATGTTCTCCTACTCTATTTGGGATTGATCTACTTCTTCACTGCTACTATTAACAAGTTTTTCACACCAGTCAATCCAGACAATCGGTGAGTATAGTTCATAGTCGAACTCAAAATAAACTTGGTGTTTGAAAGCTCAGAATCATTTTTATTTATTTATCTATTTGTAAGTATGCTTTCATCAAACCAAGGAAACAGAAGAGACACAATAAGACAAGCTCCACCAAAGATTACACGTTTGGCCAAGGTGGAGGGTAATTTATAAACGAGATAAAAGCTGTTTTGATTTCTGGCCAGGTTTGCCATGTAGTGAGCCTTACTATTGTTTTTCCTATTCACATACAAGAAAAGACAAGTGTTATTGAGACTACATTGAACTGTTCTTGAATATTTGAATATGCCAGATAGCAGAGACTACAAAGCCATTGTAGAGATACACCACGGACTCAGATCCATTCTTGTTCATACCAACAACCATACCGCCTTGCTAATCAACCTCTAAGTTGAAGAAGTTATTGTCAATCCATTCTAGGTGCCTTACCCTTTTAGGGGATGCTCACTGATGTGTATGTTTTTTCAAGACAAATACAGTTGCCTTGCCATCAAAAATATATTGATTTTGCTAATGGGGCGGTTGTTTTTGTTTGAAAAACAAAACCAATCATGTGGTTGAACATTCCTATAGACTGAACCAACCTTGTGCAGTTGTTGATCATGCTATCTTACTTAGCTGGTTCATATGATATTACACACAACACCCAATTCATAAAGCATTTATATAGTTATAAATGCTTGTCTGGTTCCTTGGAAAAGTTGAAAACAAAAAATTCTCAGGAATTCCATGAAATGTCTTATAATTGCCCCTTTCTCACTAGTTTCCTAATAAACCAAATGTACCTTAAGGAATCCCTTCATTCTTCAGAATGAATGGCAATCATTAACCTGAATCACTTGATCATCTCAGAGGTTCAACCCTCCTGCTCCTTTGTGGATTCAGGTAGGCATGGATCGGCCTGCTTGATGGCGAGGCAGGGTTCAGGTTATATATTTACTAAGTCAAGCACCAGCCCCTAAAACTAGATTGCCTTCTATTTGGCTTAACTCTAGTATTACTAGTATCTAGATGGTCTCTAGGATTTGTGGTTACACAGTCAACTCTGTGAGACCATTTAGTCAATAATGAGCCACATATCCAATGGATTCTTGGAATCTTTGTGTTTGTATTGCTAAATGGAAATATAATTGAATTGAGTCCAAACAAGCTGAATGTAAATTCTAATTTGTTTTTGCTTCAGATTTGGCTATCTTATTTGTTTGTGAGAAATTAGAAGGAAACTAAAATGAATTAGTGTCCACTTTATCCAACTTGCACCCCCAATAATGGTGCATCACAGATCCAAATACATGCCAGATTTAACCGATCTGCAAGAAAAGCGTGTAATTTCGGCATTTCTGCAATTTTTGCAATTTACTGTAGAATTCCTGATATTTTCATGCATTTTTCTGAATTTTTCTACAAAAGTATTGTAATTTCTGCAATTTTCTGATTTTCTTGCAATTTCTGCTAAATTTCAGGTATTTTCATGCATTTTTCTACAATTTTCAGCAAAATTCCTGATATTTTCATGCATTTTTTGAAATTTTCTGCAAAATCATTGTAATTTCTGCAATTTTCTGATTTTCTTGCAATTTCTGCAAAATTTCAGGTATTTTCATGCATTTTTTCTGCAATTTACTGTAAGATTTCTATAATTTCTATAATTTTCTGCAAAATTGTTGTAATTTCTGCATTTTCTTGCAACTTTTGAAATTTCTGCAAAATTCCTGATATTTTCATACATTTTCTGGATTTTTTTCTGCAAAATTATTGTAATTTCTGTAATTATCTGATTTTCTTGCAATTTTCTGCAATTTCTCCAAAATTTCAGGTATTTTCATGCATTTTCTGCATTTTTTTTTGCAATTTCCTGCATTTGTTTTGTAATTTCTATATTTTTCTGCAAATTGTTGTAATTTCTGCATTTTCCTGCAACTTTTGCAATTTCTGCAAAATTCCTGATTTTCATGCATTTTTTCTGATTTTGTTTTTGCAAAATCATTGTAATTTCTATAATTTTCTGATTTTCTTGCAAATTTCTGTAATTTTCTACAATTTCTGCAAAATTTCAGGTATTTTCACGCATTTTCATGCAATTTTCTACAAAAAGTTTAGTATTTTCATGCACTTTCTGAATTTTCTGCAAAATTGTAGTAATTTCTGCATTTTCCCTGCAAAATTTCTACATTTGTTTTGCAATTTCTGCAAATTTTGAGTATTTTCATGCATTTTTCTGAAATTTCTACAAAATTATTGTAATTTTTGCATTTTCATGGAAAATTTCTGCAATTTCTGCATTTTTTAGTATTTTCATGCATTTTTTGCTTTTTATTATTATTATTATGGGCAAAACTGGAAATCATGGTTGATTCCGATTTCGGCCTTTTCATGAACCAAGCAGCATCAATCAGAATCTGATTCGATTCTTGGGTGAACCAAACAGGTAGGGGGAATTGACCATTCTGATTCCGATTCCAAGGGATTCCGATTCCGATTCCAACCACGAACCAAACGGACCCAAATTTTTTTTTGGGAAAATTCCCGATCAGTACCTGTACTTTGGCTCGAGTGACAATTTGGTCCCTAAATTTTAAAATGTGACAATTCAGCATTCAAACTTTCAAAATTTGACAATCCAATACCTCCCATTAACCAGTCCGTAATCAATCGCTAAGTGGCATTTGAAAAGTCAAAAATACCCTTTGAATGCCATCTAATTCTCTTTATCAATCATCTAAACATTGGCAATAAAATAAATAGTCCCAAATTCTAGATTCTTCTAAATAGTCATCAACTTTTTTTTGAATAGAAAAAAGTAGGATTTGGGATTGTTCAGTTTTTTGTTAATGTTTGGATGGTTGTTAAAAAGAATTGGATGAAATTCGAAGGGTATTTTTGACTTTTTCAAATATCACTTAACAGCTAATTAACAAACAATTTAATGACCGATACTGAATTATTTGAAAGTTTGAATATTCAATTCTCGCATTTTAAAGTTGGACACCAAATTATCCACGCTATGTTCGACATCTATTTCACTCGATAACCCGAATTCCATTCGGATCCTATGCGAATCAGATGTTAAGATTCGAAACGAATTAAAATCAATTCGATCCGTTTTCACTGCTAATACAGTTACACACTTACACTATAAACCTTCGCGCGATTCCCCCCCTCCCCCCCATCGGGATTTCTCGTCTACACAGACATTATTGCGAAGATGCGTCCATGAAACACCAACCACCGAGTTAGCCCAAAACTCGAGTCCAATTTTGAGACTTGCAAGAAGAAGAAACAAGGGTAATCGCAAGGAAAAAAAGCGTTGTAGTCATGCAATCCTACTCAGTTACAGTCATATCTATTTGCCCTCATCGATAGAGACGAAACATTTGATCGAACCCCGACCATGGCATGGCATCTGCACTATCCAGGGCCCCCAAAATGCAAGGTCTCAATCTTTTGTCCGGACGCATCTCCACAAGATTGTGATCAGCACGTGAAGTTAGCACTTGGAGAGCCACTTGAAATGTGAACTTTCAAAACTATTGGATGGTGTTCAAGATCAAGTTTCTGCACATCGTCTTCTCTGTTATCGAATCAATTGACAGGAAGAGTTGAAGGCAGAAAGAAGAGTGTCAAGGCTTTTCGAAAGTATTTGTGAAAGAAATTAACATGTGGGTTTTCGTTCTAGGCACAATTCAAGCCTACATGCGAGCACTCTGTTGGCGGAGAGTGATGCAGCTCAGTTGAACTTGTAATCGCGGTCAGCCTGAGAGAAGNGGGGGGCGGAGGCCGGAGGGTACTCTTGTGCAAGGGAATAAAGAAGAGCAACGGAAGAAATGATTCAATATTTTGCAATAGTAATCACTCTATCAAGTAGAGAGTAGCAGAATTAAATTTGTGCAGCTGACCCATTAGTAGGGCTGAAGCAGAGATGAAGAATCAGTGACCTTGGTCATATCTTTTGGTATTGAGGAATACTAGCAATGAATACATTACATCTCAATTCTCAAGGAAGTTGTTTCTGCTTTATAATCAGTGTGAGTGAGAGATCATTCATTCTTTATTTCACCTGGATGTTTGAGATTTCCAGGTTTGTGTTACAACAAGTATTTTGTAAGTTTGCAAAACTGTTGAAGCTCTGTGATCTCAACGAATATTCCTTTATAAGCTTTGAGAAAAATGAATCCTCTCTTTCCAGAAGCTTGGCTGGGGTATCATACTCCACAACCGTTCCTGTTCACAAAACAATAATTTCAACCCATTTTACCAAAATACTATAAAAAAAAGAATTTTTAGTTCTATTCAATTTTCCTTTATTTTCCCACTTTTCTTTATTTTTCCTATTTCTTGCTAAACTTTTAATATAATTTAATTGCTTACCTTCACTCAGGACCAGAACAAGATCGCTATCTATAACTGTGTGGATTCTGTGAGCTATGGTAATAACTGTGCAGTTTTTGAACTCCTGGCGTATGATCTTCTGGATCAAACCATCAGTTGCGGAATCAACTGAGGCTGTGGCTTCATCTAGAACAAGGATGCTGCTTTTCTTTAATAAGGCTCTTCCAAGACAGAAAAGCTGTCTCTGCCCCACACTCCAGTTTTCTCCATTTTCAACCACTGTAAGAGCCATATGTTTTAGGAGTCAAAACTCGAGAATTCAAAAAACCTGATAATGAATTGCTATTCCTATTGATTAATCTTACCTGTGGTGTCCAATTTCTCTTTCTTTGCACGTATTATATCACCAAGTTGACATTTATCAAGGACCTGAAAATGTGATTTTTTTTTTCAAACATTCCATTTTAAACAAAAAATTGTGAATGCTCATATTTTCAGAATCCACTTAGGGTAAGTTATTATCAATTAGAGTTACTTAAAGCAAGATTGATATCTGGATAGGAGAATAGGAAGAAATCAGGAGGTCAGGATCTAGAATTAGGTAAGCCCCACCAAGGATCTTTTTCTAAAGTTCTACCCGATTTTATGATCCTTGGTATCTAATTGCTGTATTCAATTTTATGGTCAAACAATATGGAAAGAGTTCCATATCTAGAATACAGATTAGATAGTTATGTTCATAAATCAAGTCAATCTTGACTTAATAGACATCCTTGGTTGGACTGACAAATGTTGGTCAATGCTCTAGTAGTTCACATCATGTACAGGAAATAGGCATGCAAACTTACTTGCATCCTATACCCTAGTACGATTATCACTTCATGATGTATGTGTCCTGCGTCTTGTTTTTAAGTATTCTACTTAAAATGTTTTGCTGCAGATAGAAATAACCACCTTCCATACTTCATTGTCAGAATACTTCTCTAAAGGGTCAAGGTTTCCTCTCACTGTTCCCTCGAACATTGTTGGGTCCTGTGGGATGATGCTAAGTCTGGATCTCAAGTCATGAAGGCCTATCTTGCAAATGTCTACATCATCAATTTCAATGGTTCCTTCTCTGGGTTCCACAATTCGGAATATGGCCTGAATGAGAGTAGATTTCCCACTGCCTGTCCGTCCCACAACACCAACCTTCTTTCTTCCTGGAAACTTGCAGGTAATGTTTTTTAAGACAGATGGAAGATGCTCTGCATATCGGATCTGTAAAATTGACAAATATGTTTAAATCTATAAGTAAATAAGTTATCCATTCTGTACAGATGAGAAATTGTTTGCAAGTAAATGAAACTTAGTTGTAAGTACTGCTTTAAACTTGGATGGATTTTAGAAAATCTTGAATGAGGGTATCTTTTTGGTATGCACATATACTAGTAGCTGATGTGGGACTACATCCTAGTTCTGTCCTGAAACGAAGAAGTCAATATTCACAGTTTCCATGGGTTCAACCTACAAGATCTACTGGACAATCAATTAATATGAATTGATACTATACTGACAGTCTAATTCATATCATTCTTTTTGACAGTTGAAAAGCATATGCAGATTGCTTCTTAGATGGATTATAGGCCAGATGGTTTGTGGAATCCTACTTTTGGTTCCTTCTTGGAAGATTTCCTAGATGTCAGTTTCCCTTGTAGCTTTGTAGTTGCACTATATGTAGAAACTGCCATCTTAGGGTGGAGACTTGAATTTATGATTTTCTGGGTAACTCCGCATAAGCTACAGATAAAGGAGCACTATGAACCAGCACAGTTCCAGAAACAATTTTGATACTGTAGTAACTTGGTGAAGTTAAAATTAGGTGAAAAATGAAAAATAAATGACATATCTAAATTAACCTGATTAACTTTACTTTTACTGTAAAATATGATGATTGTGATATGCTTGGCATGCGTCTAATTTACCTTTTTCCTTTGTAGACAATAAAAGAGGTAAGAGATATAGAAGTTAAACAAGAAAATATATTGAACACTAGAGTTCTTGGTCTACTACTAATTTCTTCTACATAAATTTGTTTAAAATGCATGCACATTGTATACTAGTTTTGTTTTGAATGCCAATGTCATCTAACATGCCTACCAGTACTCACAATCAACTATAGTCATTCATAGTGGAATATTACATAATAGAGCCATTTACAACTATATCCATCTACGGAACCAGTAAGAAGAAGTGACCGGGATTCGTAGTGGAATATTACATAATAGAGCCATTTACAACTATATTACAAATTGAAGGGGCTAGAAGAGTTAGGGTCAGGCCAAAAGGGACATGGGTTGAAGCAGTGAGAAATGATTAAGGCCCATAATTTAACAATGGATATGGTACTCAACAGGATGGAATGGAGGATCAGGATTCATGTAGCTAATTTGATATAGTTGGGACAACGCTTAGATGATGATGTAATTTTACCTGCAAATTTTTGAAGCAAATTGTTCCAGCTTGTGGCCAGTTGCTTGGTGGTCTACATTCTTCAATTATCAAGGGAGCTTCACTAGTAATTTTTGAATACTGCAGAATTCTTTCTACTGAGATCATTTTATTTTCTGCATTGCACATGTTCCATATAACAGAGGCTTGCAGAACATTCAGATTCAACCCATATGTCACAGCTAACCCTGCAATACCTGTTAAGATATCCAATTCAGAATGAACTCTCTCTGGTACTTTGATATAAAACCACCAAGTCTCCGGTGATTAAGAATGTAAAGTTAAATATGTTCATGAGCTAGGCCATAAGGTCATGGTTCAACAATATGCACAGTAAACATGCAGGGTGATAGGGCCCTACCATTTGATGGTTCTAACCTAGGAAATATCCTATGCTAATATTTCTATAAAATAATGAGCATGGTCATCTGATTGTTTTTATTTTTGTATAGGAAATTTCATAAGTGGGACACTTTATAATGCTGGTTCTAACTTCTGCACATGTTTTTGATGTCTGTAGGAGTGCCATTCCATAAGGAGCCATTGCTTGGTACAGTGGTAAAATCGTGGGCTGACAAGTCTGTGAACGGGATCATGTCCAAGAGTGACTACTTTGTGCAGAAAATGCCAAATTAGGTAGGAATCGAGTCTACCCCTCTCAAGACTCTGGATTGGTGGGACCATCACTAAGTAATGGCTTTTTTATTCATGGTCTACCTACTGAAAAAAAAAACATCTTAGGAAAATGTATATTCACTATCCTCACTTGGATTGATAATTCCTTCTGGGAGGCTCACAAGCAAAACTAATGAAAATGCAAACACAAGATTGGATAGCATGTTCAATCTGAAGGAAAGCCATTCCATTGCTGACACATTATGAAACCATGGCCTTGAGTGGTTATCAATAAGGCTGAGGTTTGCTTCAAGGAAGCGGTCTTCTTGGTCAAAAGCACGGATTGTCGCAGCTCCTGCAAGTGATTCTGCAAAATGGTGGAGAATCGGAGCTCCTTCAATTCCAGCTAAGCGAGCCAATTCTCTTCCAGTTGGTATATAGTATCGCTGCAGTGATCATCGCAAATATTAGACTCAGTTTCTGAATTGGCTGTCAGCCATAAGCTTAAGTTGTATAAATCCCCTACTCCAAACCTCAGCTTGCAAGTGGAGCAGAGAATGAAATAATTTCTATAACCATCTTTTGAGTGAATAACCTTTGCAATTGAAAGAAATGTCTTACTTGATACCATATGCAGATCGCAGTTACTGGAATAAAGAGGGCAAATACTTGCCATGCCACCTGTGACATGACTGTGATGGTCCCTAGGATTTGTATTATTGAGAAGGCACACCATCCTAAGTTGCCTGCTATTTCCAAGTCTAGCACACTTTGGTCCATAGATGCCTGAAGTCAAGATGTTTTGAGTCTATTAGTACTCAGGRCTTCCAGCTTCTCATGTATGGGCTTGTCTTACATATAATTGCGTAAACCATATATGCACATTACATAGGCATAATAAGATTCTGGAAAGCATCAGTTCAAAATGTCTGAGCTGCATTCATTGAAGAATTAAATATATATTTTTCTTTATAAAGAAATATATATGCATATCTGTGTACAAGGTTTCTTCTCACTATTTCTCCCTGTTTTGCATCCAATAATACAGTAGTTAAGCATACATTATCAGAGAATATGGGTTTGCATTCAATAATGTCTTCCACAGTTTTTTCTTGGTTTCCAACAAAAGCATCAAAGGGTGAAAATGAAAAGCAGATCCTTAACTGAAGTATCGAATCAAGATCTAAAGGTCAGTTCTGGTTTTGGGCTTTCCTCAATATACATTGTAAGATGTGTGTGTATGTGTGCTAACATATATGTAGATGGCATTTTCCTTTTCTCCATTCCGTTCTTCCAGTTTATTCTTACTAAATACAGAAACTTGATTCATAAATCTTTGATACATATATTTGGTCGTTTGGGTAAATTGAATTGTTTGTAAATTTTAAGGCTTTGTACATATAGGAAATTAGTTCTTTAAGTGATATTTGATGCTTATACTCATAATGTATCATACAGCCTCCCCCCCATTTTTCCTGCAAGTTATTTCTATTACCTAATTCTTCTCCATTTTTAGTATGCTGTTTCTTGTTGTATATTCTCCTGTCCAAAAAAAAAAAATGAAAACAAAAAAGAAAAATAAAAGGCCAACCTATAAAACCTGTATTAGATGATAAGTTTTTCTGTCATCAGATATCTTATAACTACATGCATGCAAACATGAATAATTATATATTACTCACTCGCTGATCAACAAACACAACACACATACATACACATATGTTTATGTTACCTGATTATTTACCACAAAAAAATTACTTACCCGGTTTAAAATCCTTCCAGTTGGGGTTGAATCAAAGAAAGACATTGGAGCTCGAAGTACACTATGGAGCATATTAATGAAAAATTTTTGGGACGTCACTAGGCCAGCTATTGCTACTAACAAGGCTCGGATCAGCACACAAAGTGAACTCCCAACAGATAAAAGTATATAAACAAGGAAGAGAATGTTCATCTTCACAACTGGCTCAGTCCCACTTGTAGGAGGAGAAGCCCATGCCATCCAGTAGTTGCTGGCTATCTGTAACACTTGGAAGAGTGACTGTGCCAAGAGTATGATTGGGATTAAGGCCCCACGACGTGCTGCAGTTAAATATGACCAGTAAACTTCTTTCCCGATGCTTCCTTTTCCTCTCTCTTCATCCTGCATCAATCTTCCCGTTTTGTCTGTTATCTCTGGGGAGAGATTATGGTCAGATTCATGCCTAGTAATTTCTGCATTTATGATGGTGTGGTCTACCTCAGCTTCACTATCAGATATAGGTCTTTTAGATGTTCTACTTGAATTTTCAACTGTGAGGATTGATTCTAGAGCTTGGCCATGTGCACCAACTAAGACTTCAAATCCGGTATTCTGCTTTAGAAGTTCTTCAAACCTTCCAGCTTGTGTGATCCTTCCATCTTGCACCACCTGTGAAGATTATTTTAAGTTCTGATGTAATATTTTTTTTTAGAGATTATGAAATAAAATTTATGCTGCATATTTTATACCAGAATGAGGTCTGCTGCTGGAAGAAACTCGACCTGGTGGGTGACATAAAGTACTGTTTTATCTTTGAGGATCCCCATCAGGCAGTCCTGCATGAAACAAGTAAAAGAGAGCTCAAAATAAGAGACTGGATGGGATGCTTGTAAAATTGAATCAAGGTTTAAAGAATTTTCTTTTATGTCCAAACTGACTAGCTTCAAAGTTCAGTCTAAGTTCTAAATGGGTATGATCAAGTGGAATCCATTTGGGCTATCTTAACCAAATTTTTAGCATGGGTAGGGGTTTTCTATGTTTAATTTGCATGGACCCCAAAATAGGTATTTCTGTGCCATTGTACCTGATTCACACTAGTGTCCCTGGAACTTTGAAGGGGTTATATTTAATGAAATAACTGTTGATTAGTCTGGATATAATTTGTTGAAACTTGAATGGGCTTTGTACCAATTGAAACCTAATTGTAATTGAGCCTTAATAATAGCTAGACTATTATGGTCTGATGAAAACCAACCTGGAAGAGTTCAGTGCCTGTATGAGCATCAACAGCGCTGAAGGGGTCATCAAGAAGATATATATCAGCATCCTGGTAGACTGCACGGGCAATTTGTATTCTTTGCTTCTGGCCTCCACTCATATTAATACCTCTTTCTCCAATCTCTGTAAGGTCACCACAAGAGAAGAGCTCAAAATCCTTCATCAAAGAACATGCTTTAACTGTTCTTTCATACTTGGCACTGTCATATGCATTTCCAAAAAGAATATTTTCTCTTATATTTCCTGTCAATATCCATGGAGACTGAGGAACATAAGCCCTTGTTCCACTGACCTTCACCATTCCTGACAGCTTTGGTATTTCTCCAAGTATGCATGACAGCAAACTAGACTTCCCTGATCCAACAGTCCCACAAATTGCCACTTTCATTCCTCTCTTCACTTTCAACTCTATTCCTTTCAGTGTTGATCTTTCTGACTCTGGATTCCAGCTGAAATTTCCAGTACTGATTTCTATCTCAAACTCTGTTTCATCTTTTGGACAAAATACTACTGTATCTATTTGAATCTCATCTTCTTGGAGGTATGATGCAACTCGATCAGCTGAAACTTTGGCTTGTGTGACCACTGACAATAAGTCGGGTAGATTGAAGATAGGGTCCTGTAACATTCTGAAGGTTGCCAATGCAGATAAAACTCTCCCTGCTGTGAGTGGGATACCCATTAAAATACATGCCCCTAAGGTCACTACTGAGATGAAGGTGGGGGATCCCCAGAAGATAAAAGCTGATATTGCTGACAACCTTAGTGATTTCCATAGCCAGCTGTACTCGGTTTTTCTCAAGCTTTCAAGCTTGTGTAGGTACTGAGCGTCCCAGGCCTGAAGTTTCAGAGTTTTCATGTTTCGGAGAACCTCTGACATGGCTTTCATCCGGTCATCCTTGGAGTCCATTATCTTGCACTGGAACTTTTTCTGGATCCTTGCAATGGGTATGTTGCATGCCATTACAATTGTTGTTGCCGCTAATGCAGCTAATGATGCAGGACCAAGGTTCATATTTAAAATGTAGATTGCTAGGGAAATTTGTATTGGCAACATCCAAATTATGTTCAAGTGCCACATGAAGTCTGTGATACGTTGAACATCCACACTCATATAGTTAATGATCTCTCCACTAGTATGGCTTTGTCGGGATTGACTTGATAGGTGTAGACCCTTCTTATAAATTTGGGATATCAGGGCTACTCTCAATCGAAGAACTAACTGGCGAGCCCCAAAGATCCATTGCCTCTGGGACATGGTCTCAATCATTTTGGCACCTAGAAAAGCCAATGCTAGAAGGTATCCACTCCTCAAGCTGCGTTCTTTTCTCTCATTTAGAAACTTCACAAAGTCGTCAATCAAGTATGGGCCAACATATGATGTTCCAGCACTGATCACTGCAAAGATTGCATTTATCGTTGCTTTCTTACTGATAAACAGAAAGATTGCCTTGTAGATGGATGGATCTGTGGTGCTATCCCTCTCCTTGACACAGTTTAGGCTGTCATCAAAAGAATGAGAAAGGAATCCTGCAGAGTCCTTAATGTCAACATCAGGAATCTCATCCTGTTCAAGGGATTTCTTGACCCCAACTGCAAACAGTGGGTTAAGCCATGAGAACGTAATTAGTTGGAGAAGAGTAGCACTTCCATATGGAGATTTCCTATTTCCTTCTGCGTGTTTTTCAGTTGTCCCGTTGAGAAGTGCGTCTGTGATGTCATTTTCAAAGAAGTAGATTCCTGTGGTCCCTTTAATTGAAATTCCCAACAGGTAGATGGAGGCAAATAGACCAAGGAAGTTGACATAATCTCCTATTCTGGGGGACCTTTGGTCTGTAAGAATGTAGTTGATATCAAGAGAAGTACAGATAACTGATTGCAAGAAGCTGTATACCCACCATCCTCTCAGAGTCAAAGGAAGCTTCAAGGACCTTGCTCTTGAAATATTGACAAGTGCAATTAATGTAATCATCCATGAAATTGTTTGCATGGTTTCTGCCAAAAAATATGACATTGTGGATTTGCAACGAATTCGATTTCCATTCAGAAGCATTAGAAGCATAAGAAAGTGGCTTCCAAATAGCAAAATAGAGCAGCCTATATTGGCTTTGTAAGAGAGGCTGAGTCTTACACCAGAGGAGTATATTTGTGCTCCTTTCTGTGTGCTTTTTGATCTCTGTATGCATGATTCTCTCAATATTTTCTGTAAAAGGTATATTAATAAACTCCCAAGGAACCCAAGTTGGAGAATTATGATGATGTCCTCCCTGAAACAAGGTGACCTTAACTGCATCCATTCTCTCCAATTTTGAAGCTCAAGATCTTTTGCACATTAAGAAATGATGTTAGTGAATCAAAAAAGGCCCAGGGCCAAGAAGTTACAGTCATATATCATTGCTTTTATTCATTATTACTTGTGCTGTTTGCCTGTTCCCCTCCTACTCTAGGTGATTTAAGACAAAAATATCTCAGTATTTTTCATGTTGACTACATGATCACTTGCTTGGCTAAATGGATAATATTTATTGAAGTTTTTGTTTTGGGTACTTTGTCTCTCCTGGTGGTAGAAATATATATTTTGCGAAGTATCAAGGGCTGAATATTCAAGTTTACTTCGTTTTTCTGCTAGGATCTTCTCAAGAACAGTACCAGATACAGCCAAGTTGGCAATTCTTTACAATGAATTTATTAAAAAATTCATCCCTCTGCGCACCCCATATTCGACCTTGGAACTCAGTATAGACATTTATAGTCAAAACCTTAATCTGGATACCATTCTGTCTAAAAGAATTGATAACCAGTCTTAATCTATATTGCGACTTTTTTGTGTACATTCTCTCCTTAGGTGGAATTTTGCATCTATTGCTTCTATAAGCATAGACTATTCACATTCTAAGGAGGCTATAAGTTATGGCAGGACGGGAGTGGGCCTGGAGCAATAATTGTAGCAGCAGTAATCCCACCACTCAGCAGTATCCTGAGTATGTATATCTAACCTATTTTTCTCAAGTGCTTAAGAAAAAAGTTTTTCATTTCTTTGATAGATTTGGTATTCATTTCAGAAATGTATATCTTTTAATATCAAAACTTTCCTGCCTACCAGTATGCATGCTTCCTTAAAGGCTTTAAGGAAATCTGAACTTTGAGGACTCTAACAAGAGATGACCAAAATTTCATCTCTGTGTTGTCATGATATGTTTCATTCTCACTGAGCATTATTGCATACCCATTATATGGCATGCTTTATTTCCTCAACTAAGTTGCATTTTTACTTCCTACATATCAACTGCTCTTATTTATCTCTTTGGTCAAGCTATATCAAGATTCTAGGTTTAATCATTTTCTTTTCCCAGAGAATTATTCCCATCAATAACAGAGTGTTCATATACTAGATACATATAGAGGGCCTGAAGCAATAATTGTAGGTTCCATAAAGTCAAGCTAGGTTTTATGTAAATTTCACTGTACCTTTTCAGGCCTCTGCACATGTCACAGGTTGGATAGTGCTATCATTTGATCAATATGGGAGACCTCCTATATAGAGTGGTGGATCCCATCCTCGACACTCCAATGGATGCACACATATATGAATTGTGCAAAAACACACATTATACAACTACAATTAGGTCATAGATTACCTTTTATCAAATGGATTATTCCTTTCTGCGCTCTTATTTGATGAAACAATAAAACCATTCTGTGGTTAAATAGAATCAATTTCAAAAGGAGTTTGTTTGTTGACTTCCAGCACTCTACTAATGCTCATTGAGCATAAATGTCCTATAACATTATAGTCATAATTCAAGCCAAGGTTATTTGTGATTACAACACAACTTGAATTTGAAACTTCAATCATTGGTTCACATTCTCTGCAGAATCTTTTGGCTAGAAAGAAAGGTTATTTGTGATTACAATCTCTTTGTATGGAAGATTGATTTAGTCAAATTACTTGTATGGAATAATGGCAGTTCTACATTTGTACAGGTGTTACAGTTTGTTCTAGTAGGCAGTTAGTATACGGCAGAAAAGAAATTCTGCATGCTTCAGTGGTACCCATGGGCCATGGCACACAAGGAGATGGAACCCATCATTTCAATAATAGAGAATGTATATGGATGGTAATGGTCATAAGATTTGTCTGTTTCTGGTAGATGGAACATTTTGGATCTTCATTGCATTTTTGGTTGTCTACATGATAGTATCGGATGATCACTTCATGTTTCCTTTTTACCATTTTGTTAAAATAGCAGTGGAAAATGACACAATCTATGGAACCCTGACTGGAAACAATCTATGGAACCCTGACTGGAACCAATATCTCCCTTCTAAGGAACACTCCACAGCTACTAAACTTATGCGCTTTATATATATATATATATATATATATATATATATATGTGTGTGTGTGTGTGTGTAAAGTGTTTAGCATGCTTGCAACCACAGAAAGTAATATTGTTTGAGAGATATATCAATCAGAACCACAGAATACCTCTTAATACTAGCTTTCGTTTTTTTTCCATGATTAAATAAGAAGTCCATAAGTTTTGCAAAGATATATTTCATATTTCCTTTACTTATGTCTTTTTCTCCTCAGTTTTGGGTTTTGGCTTAGTGGAGTTTGAAAGACTTGGACCAACACTAATTTGTGCAGGCAACAATCTTATTGGTACTGCACCAGCCGGCTTAGTGAATTATACAGAAAGTAATCAACCCCTAGAGTCCACATATAATACAAGAAGCAAATTTATCTTCCTTGAGTCTTATTTCTAATTTATTTGTAAGCTTCAGCCTTCAGTTTTTCAAACATCACATCCTTTAAAACACCAATACATTGCAACATAACAAAACTAAACATAGTCTCAATGAAGCCAGATACTACTGTTTTTGGCCTTTTAAGAAATGTATTCACATCCGGAAGAATCTGCAAACTGAAGTCACAAATGGGCTAACTTTAAACCTATCAGTTTCAGTTCCTATCCAGAATGGAAGAACACTATAGGTGTACCATAGTTTTCAGTTTTAAGCAGCTGTTAACTCCTAAAACTTTTCTTTCATTTCATTCACAGACAATCTTTCTAAGATCAGTGGGAGCTTACTTGTCATAATGTTTAAATGTAGCATCTCCTCATAGAAACGCTTCTCCACCCACTTCTTCACCTTGTTCGAAAGCCCCTTCGACCACAACTAGCAGGAAGGGTAAGACTATTGTGAAGTCTAGGAAAATGTTCCAGAAAAAGAGAGTGAGCTCATTTTAGTTCTGAAGATTGACAGAAACAACTAAGAAGTGGGTGCAACGGGGAGAGATGGGATTCTTGTTCAAGCATATCTGGTTATAGGGATGAGTTTGTACGTTGGTAGTTTTTGCCATGTAGGAAGTTGGGTTTGAGAGGGAATGTCACGTGGCTCGTTCTTCTGAAGGCGGTCTTTTGGATGGTTGTTTGAACTCAGGTTGGTGTTTGCTAGTGTAACCTTTGAAGGTGTATATGAGAAGCAAGTGTTAATTTTAGTGGTTCAGTGGTTAAGATGATAGCTATATTAGCAGTTCGGTGCAGTGTTAGTGTTAGGAGTAGGACACAAAGAATAAAAGATTTGTCGTCACCTCACTAATCATATGGTTCCCATCATCGACGTGGCCTATTTCTAGGATGTCAACGTGGCAAATATTAATGTTCTGTAATGCACCGCCACTGTCAATTACTGCTTAGTGGTGATATGATCATGAAATGGGCTTGTAAATATGACCCAAAAACCAGTTCATTTGTGAACTAGACAATGGACTGAACTTGAAGAACACAAATTGCAGTAGAAGTACAGAGGTTGAGTCGGCATTGTCTCATCTCATATTAGTCCCTATCAGGATTGATCATAACTAGGCCTGATCTATATGAGGCAGATTGTTGCTGAATCTGTCTCTCCCTTCAAGCAAAAGGATTAAGACCCATTTTGTGTTGCAAATGAAATTCTTAAGACCATGCATTTTACTCCGAATAAAATGATTTGAACCAAGATTCAAAGTATATATTCATATATGTGTCGTTGTTTAGGGTTATTGAAAATGCTTGGATTGTCAATTGATGGATAACATGTTCTCAAATCTCAATGTCTTAGGAATAAATTGATTTTATTTTCTATAATAGGAAGGGTTTTTACTTTTTTTCAAGGTTCAAAGTATCGATACATATCGGTCTGTATCGGCTGATATGTATTCCAGGATCCCTTCGATATACCTTTATAGTGAGTGTATCGGGGTCTGACCGGTTCAGGGGGTGGGGGTCCTAAACCGGCCCTCTGAACCGATTGCACAAAAAAATAAAAAAAAAACAACAACAAAAAACCATACCGATTTATCAATATTTTAAAGCTTTCTCTTTTCATCTCTTTTATTAACTTTAAAAGTCTAAGAAATACATGATTACTTAAAACTATACTGAAATTAACTTTGACAATCGTATTTTATTTTTAAACAAAATCAATCACATTGATTAACAACCCTTTAGCTTAACGGTTTTTCTTTCAATGATGAAGTGCGCTAGGCCAATGTAAAACAATTATAACAAGGCTAATTAGGGCATATCGAAAAAGATTACGGCTCCACTTTGATTATTTTTGCTCTTTCCACGAATGCGCCAGTGTCTCTCCAAGTGAACAGGGAAGGACACGTTTTCAGGATGTATATATAACCTATATACTATTTGGGCTGAGGTTCAGACCTAGACGACTAGACCTGGTTATGTCTCTATCCTTGGGGCGGTCATAAGGACACTTGTGTATTATGGAAAGAGCAATAGAGCTGTCAATAGGTTGGGTTCGACCCGGATCGAGTCCTGCCTTCACCCGGGTAGGGAGGGTAGGGTTACCCTTATCGTATAGCTCATTAGTCATTACCGTAAAAAAAGGTTTTGTTCGACCTAGATTCAACCCATACATGCCTGGTCCAGGGTTTATAACCTAGAACCGGTCCTATTATTAATCTTCTTCCTCCTCTTCCAGCCTATACAATGGACAACCCGCCCCCTACTAGGGCTGCAAGTTGGGTCGGATTAGGTTGGGTTGAGGCCAACCCTAGTCCAACCCTAAGTGCTAAACCCCCAACCCTAACCTTAACTAAATTCCTTCAACTCTAACCCAACCCAACCCAACTCAACCCAAAGTCAATTTCGGGTTGGGTCTAATCCAACCTTCTTCCCATCCTTAAAAAACCTCATAGAATTTCTCGGTTTTAAATCTTAACTCAACTTTTACTACATATATATTAATCCTATGTTTCATTAGTATTTGTTTGTTGATGCTATATTTTTGTTCTTTCAGTACAAAAAAAAAAAAACAAGTGTTAGAAATGACTATAGTTTATTATGAGTTATGACTTACAATGGATCATTCTTGGGTGACAAACAACATAGAGGAGATGAAGAATAAAATTTTTAAAAAACATGAAATAATGTTATTAAGGTTTTAGTTTTTCTGGTTAGGATTAAGTGAAGTGATTATCTTAAAAGAAAGGGTAAAATACAAAAACCTCCCCTGAAATTTCTGACAATCATAAAAACCTCCCCTTTAGTTTCACTTTAACAAAATCCTCCCCTAAAATTTTAAAGAATTCAACAAAAACCTCCCTTCCGTAAA